CAGAGGTTTTATAATGGTGATGGACAATAGTGGCTCCATGCCAGGGGCTTACATAAGAATGCAAACTGTAGTGAACTAGCAGACCACATGGGCACACCCATGTTTGGCCTTACAAAGCCTGTTTCCCCTTCAGTCCACCCCACGAGACTGACTCTTAAAATCTGGCATGCTTCCCTCTTGTGTCGTAGTATGAGAGACCCCATTTCCTCCCTGCTGGCAATAGATATAGAAGTAGGGTTGGCCAGGTGCCGTATGGTGCCCACCCGTAAGAGACAGAGAAAGTTCCTGTGTGCCCAGGACAGGGGGAAGGTTTCTCTGATAAGGACAAGGAACGGGGAGAGAGAAGGAGACCCAATCCCAAGTCTCCTTGTCAGAGAATGCTCTGGGCCCAAGGCCTTTACTTAGGCAGCCTGGACGGGAGGTGCAGAGGCAGACCACTCCCCCAACAGTCCACCCCTGACTCCCATCAGGGTGCCAGGAAAAGAAGCAAAGCAGTACCAAGTCCTAGTATGCCCATCATCCATTTTGGATGTTGAGCTGTATGTCCATGGTTTGGTGCATAACTCTGGTGGATGTTACGTCTGTGCATCCTTTGAGGCAGCATTTAATGAGGGTTACTAATAGGACTGTCCTCAGGAGTTTGAACCAGCCTGCTTGGAAGAGAGATCTTAATCAGCCACCCCAGTTGTGGCTTAGCCCAAGTCAACTGAATAGACCAAAGGGCTGCATTTGTCCAGGTTTATGTATGTATAACGTCCTGGTTCATTTATATAAAAACAGCATATTTCTCCGAACACAGCACATATGAACAGTACACATTCCAGTACAAGTAATACAAAAGCTCCCTTTCTCAGCATGATTGAACAAGGTATCGCCATTGCCAGACCAGGCTAGTTTAGACTTGGTGTAGTCAGTCAAAGTACATTGGACCACCTGGACATATTCTGCAAGTTCTCTGTGTCCAGAGTAACATCAAACTCAGTCTGAAAATTACCATTCTCAGAGTCAAACCATCCAGTCCCGTGCCATTTACACTTTTAACGCACAGAGAGAAATGTCCTTCCAAAGTTGGAGCACCCCCCACAGCAACTTTCATGCTTTAAAAATGTTTTCCATGAGTAGTGGAGTCAACTGTACTCATTTATCACACGATCTCCTCAGCACACCAGGTTACACAATCAGTTGGTCTATGAGGTGGCCTCCTTGCTCACAGATGGCTGGAACCATGTGGGGAGATGATTCGTCATCTTGGTTCAGACGTTGACAAGGCCAACCATTGGTGTTTGATAGCTCTAGCAGAAGCCTGTATCATTTGGGCCCATGGATGAGACGCCTGTCTATCATTGTGAGATAGTCTGAGAAGAAAAAGAGACAACGTTAACAATTCCCTCCTCCCCTCCCCTATCTCTCGTGGGACTTGAGGCAAGGATTGCTCAGGTATAGCCACTCAGGCTGTCTGTGCTAGTCTTGAGACAGTGGCCTCTCTGGGAACCCAGATCTTTTGTCAAGAACAGTTGTATACAAAAGAAACATATTTTATAGAATAGGCGGTTTGCTCGAACACATCGTGCAAATAAGAAATGCCCTTGCAGGGAACTGCTGTACTGAGACCCCAGACTGCTTGCCTTAGAGGTATAGATGTATAGTTCAGGCTGGGGTTGTCTTGTCCCCTCCCGTCAGCCATTTAAGCCTGTCCATTGAGGTGCTCAATTGTCCCTATGGCTTAGGGGTGATATAGAGCATGAGGAGTTCATTCAAGATTCAGTGGAAGCCTCTGTATAGGATAAGAGGTCCTGATAGGATTTACCTGCTGAGAATGCCCTGGCCTGCTGGCTCGGCAATCTATCCCTGGGCAGGTTTTAGCCTTGGCCAGTGTCTCGTAGGCAGGTCAGCTTTTCTGATGACAGTGGCAATCCATGCATGTAGGCCCAGTCTAGGACGGTGTGTGAATCTCCATGGGCCGCCCTTTCTTAAATCCAGGAGGTGGTCAGTTGCACATGTCTTTGCTCTGGAGCAGAGGATGCTTCAGTGGCTGCAGTTGATTAGCAAGAGCGATCTGCTCATTGGTTGTCTCCTCTCTCGGCGTAGGGGCCTTTCTGGTGACCATCTACACAAGTAACAAAAGCTTATCAGGAGCAGAACTGATTTTTATCCAGATGTCTCATCCCCTGGTGGCATAGTGGTTAAGAGCTATGGCTGCTAAACAGGAGGTTGGCAATTCGAGTCCACCGGGCACAACTTGGAAACTCTGTGGGGGCAGTTCTACTCTGTCCTATAGGGTTGCTATGAGTCGGAATCTACTCGACGGCAGCGGGTTTGGTTTTGGGTTCATCCCCATAGGGGCTTGCTTTATATGTCAGTCTGAGAGTTGTCAGTGGCCAGATTGAATGGCTAGGCAGTCAGCTATAGCCCACTTCACAGTTCCCATGTGCCCCACTAAAATGGCCCTAACTGCAGCAATTCCCATCAGGACTTGTAGGCAAAAGTTTACAAAGGTGTACATTAATACACCAACATCGTTAATACAGATAATAGGGTTTGTAGGGGCCTGAAGGGACTTATCCATAGTCAGACTCGGACAAGGGTCTCAATGATGGTGACCTCAGACCCAAAAGTTTTCCTCTTCTTGGTGCCAGGTGTTACAGAGATCACAGTCACCTGTGCACTGGTATCTAAAAACCCAAGACAGACAATTCTTTTCATTTCCTCATTGATCTTTAATAGTAACATAAGGCCTTTGGTCCCTCCTGGTGACACAGGGACCTAGGCTTAATCCTCAGTCTTGATTATTTCTGAAAGTCATAAGATCTGGGCAAAGTTGGCAGAGCCCTCGAGTCATTTGTGGAGCTATGCTTCCACCATACCAAGTGCAAGCCTGGGTTCAGCCCCGTTGCCTGGTAACATGGAGGCGGGCCCTCCTATTTTAGTTTGTCCCTGACTACTGCAGCTGTGACCATGTTGCTGCTCGTTTATCTTGGCGAGGGCAGTTATCAGAGGATTCCAGAGGGGGCCTCTAAGGTCTCTTCAAGGCCACTGAACACAAGTATCTTGAAGGGCTTTTTACTCCTTTATTTTTCTTCTTGCTGTTCTAACTTTTGCTTTGCACTGCGTGTTACAGAGTGTTCTCAGTGCCAGGGAGCTGCTTAGCCCCTCCAGATATCTCCAGTCCCATTATTGGAGGGCTTTGACCAATGGCTAGGGGATTGTTCCCCTAGTCCCTGAATCTCCCACCTTTAAAAATCTGCAGATGAGCATTTCTAGTTGGTCATCCTGTTCGCAGATATGGCTGCTCAACATGCAGTCGTGGCCACACAGGACTGCTGCGCATCTTTTTCCCACTGTAACTTGTCCTGCAAAGCTCTTACATGTGTCTGCAGCTAGCTGGGCTTCGGTGACCAGCTGAACAGCGCACAGCAGCAGTTACCCCATGGCCGCTACTGCTCTCCTAGCTTCTCTTCCACACTTATGAAGGCACGTGTCTGCCTACAACCAGGCTATGATTGGTGTTTTGGGAGCATCCCCATACTCTGGCCAACCCAGGATTTCCCTTGCAGAGACGCACAGGGGCCAGATCTGTCCACAGGGAGGTCACTGGCCAACCAGGGATTTCCCTGAAGATGCCTCAGTACCACTTGCCATTTCCTTGGTCTTCTGGCTGGCTTGCCAATTGTTCAGGCATGGACCAGTAACTTGAAATTTGCCTCCAAAAGTGGAGGGTGCTGAGAAACTGAAGCAAGAGGTGGGCAACTCCAGTGTGGCAGTGAAGGAGTTTTATTAGGGAGACTTACATATGAGGCCAAGTCCTGGAGGTTGCAGAACCAAAGCAGATCTCCGTACCCTGCAGTGGAAGAGCAGATGTTTTATAGTGGTGGTGGACGGTAGTGGCTCCATGCTAGGGCCTTACATAAGAATGCAAACTAGTGAACTAGCGGACCACATGGGGGCGCCCATATTCGGCCTCACAAAGTCTGTTTCCTCTTCAGTTGGTGATTTCACTGTTTAAAACGGCCCCCAAATGTAGTGCTGAAATGCTGTCTGGTGTTCTTAAATGCAAGAAGGCTGTGATGTGCCTTATAGAGAAAATATGTGGGTCAGATAAGCCTCTTTCAGGCACAAGTTATGGTGCTGTCGGCCATGAGTTCAATGTTAATAAATCAGCAGTGTATGTTAGATAAGGTGTTTTTAAACAGAAACGTACATAAAACAATATTATGTATTGATTGGTTGATGAAAGTGTGACCAGAGACTCTCAGGGACCTTACTGTGTATCTTCCCTGGAGAAGTGGTTCAGTATTTGGTAATTCAGTTTGTGGTGACTTCATAGAACATGTTGCCATTAAGTCGGCTCTGACTCATATATAACAGAGCAAAACTTTGCCTGGTCCTGCGCCATTTTCGTGATCATTGGTGTGTTCAGTTCATTGTTGGATCCACTGTGTACTTTGAATGCCTTCCAACCTAGGGGCTCATCTTCTAGTACTGTATTGGACAATGTTTTATTGTGATAATAAGGTTTTCGTCAGCTAATTTTCAAAAGTAGATCACCAGGCCTTTCTTCCTACTCTGTCTTAGTGTGGAATCTCCACTGAAACTTGTCCACCATGGGTGACCCTGCTGGTATTTGAAATACCAGTGGCATAGCTTCCAGCATCACAGCAACACATAAGCCACTCCTTTATGACAAATTGACAGATGGGTGGTGGCTGTAGAACATAACTACTGTGAATAATGAGAAGCAGCTGCAATTATTCATGAAAAGGCCTGTAGGAGCCTGGGTAATTCATTTGCTAAGAGAGCTTCTCATTTGGGGCATTAGGCCGTGTTCATTCTATGGCTGAAACATATGAATAATTTTTCAATTATGAAGACTGGCATTAGAGGTGGCACAGAGCCTGGGTTTCTGGATCTGACCAGGCCATCTGCAGACTTGCTCTGTGTTTTGTCAATGTCTACGGGCCCCCAGGCCTGCCCGTGATGGACTCAGCTGTGTCCTCTTCCAGGGTTGACACCATGGTGGAGCTGCTGGATGTGGACCGAATGAAGAGGTCAGGCTCCTTGGAGCAGAGACTGGCCTCCCTGGAGGAGCAGGTGGGTTTGAGGTGGGGCCTCTGCTTATGGGGCATGGGGTGGTGTAGTGGTATCAAAGGCACTCTGGGAACATAACAGAGAGAAGAGACTCCATCTTTGTGCTCCAGAAAAGTTCTACCCAAAGTCTCCTTAGCTGAGCTCCAGCACACTGGAAATAGGTGCTCCTAGCTGGGTCTGGAATAGTCCCTGGGTGGTGCAAATGGTTAATGTGCTCAGCTGCTAACTGAAAGTTTTGTAGTTCAAGTCCACCCAGAGGCACCTTGGAAGAAACGCCTGGCAATCTGCTTCCAAAAAAATCAGCCATTGAAAATCCTATGGAGCACAGTTCTGCTGTGACATACATGGGGGCACCATGAGTTGGAGTCGACTCAGAAGAACTAGCTTAACTGGGTCTGAGGGGACAGACTACTCACCCCATCTCTGACTCCCATCTTCCAGTGAGGTTTGGGGGTCTGAGTTGGTGCTGCTGCGGGACTCCGAGCTTACGCCTTGACCTACCCAGGCAGGGAGAACTAAACAACTTAAACAGTGGCCTCCCTGCCACTTTCTCAGGGAGGGTGGGAGGGAGCACCACAGGGATGAAGAGAGGTTGCTTTTGAGCTTCTGGGTGGATGGACTGGGCAGAGAAGCGATACCAGTAAGGACAGTGTGGACTTACTGGACACCCCCCCATGATTGGTATGTGGGGTACAGTGGAGGGGCTTGGGTGTGAAGGGAGCTTGTTATTATAAGAGGAGAGGCTGAAGACAGTCGCCAATGGGGTCAAGAAAGAAGGGTGCGGTTGTGGTGGGTAGTAGCAATGCTGCCCTGGAGTCAGGGTCCCCGGACCTGTGGGGCTGGAGTGTGCTCCGTGAGTCAGGGGAGACGGGATGTGGGCAGACCAGGAGATCTGGAGGTGGAGGGGCTGTGAGCGAGAGGGGACGAGGAAGGGCTGGGCCAGGCGTGGGCTCAGACAGGGGCAGTGGGCAGGGACGGTGGAGCCCGGGTGAAGGGCCTTGATTGCTGAGGATTGGCCCCTGGCTGGGGCTCGAGGTGGGCATTGGCTGGGGTCCCACAGCAGCTCAGTGTAGCTGACTGATGTCAGTGGACCCCCGAGCAGGACAGACCACTGCTCGTTTTTTTGTCTTTTCCCTGTGTTACCATGGCGGGGGAGGGGGGGGCGGTGGCGCATGTGCCAACCCTCATCCATTGTCCCGCTTGGCACTGGTTCTTTACATCTGGGGCATCCCCCGCCTCGCCCCCTCCATCAGTGCCCATCAATGGCTTGCCTGACAATAGGCCCACAACCCAGCTCCCAACCCCTTGGGCTGAGACAGGCAGCTTCTTGCAAGGTGGGGTTCAGAATCGTTGCTTCACTGGCTGGCCAGAGCCCAGGCACCCCTGCTTTCCCGTGGACCAGAGCTTCCTCCCTTCCTCCTTCCTTCCCTTCCATCCATATTTCCTGTGTACCAAATCCACGTTGTGTCCAGAGCTGGCCTCCGAATGATCCTGCATTGTCCTGCCCTCAGCGGCTGCAGGCTGGGGGTGCAGACATAAATCCCCATTGTCACAGTGCCGGCAGCAGGGCTGATGCAGTGCTGGGAGGTCGGGGGCCCTCCAGGGAAGCTGCCGGGCTGGGAGCATGGTCCAAGTGGTCAACTCACCCCTGGTGTGCCCAGTCTCAGTGGTGATTTGTGTCTCATGAGCGGGCGGGGCCCTCAGATGGTTGTGGCTGTCAGCAACCAGCCCTCTGTCGGAGACAGGACGGCTTTCAATGGGGGCGCCGGGGTCCCCGGGGAGTGAGGGGCTGCCAGCCTCGCCAGGGGTGGGCAGAAGGGTGAGGGGTGGGTATGCTGTTGGGGTGGGGCCATGGCTGGCATTCATCAAATCTTTGGGACGTGCCTTCCAGATGGCCCAGATAGCCAGAGCACTGCACTGGATCGTGAGGGCTCTGAGGGATGGCGGCTTGGGCTCAGAGGCGGACGCCCCGGCTCCAGGTGAGTGGGTGCCTGGGCCACAGTGGGCCTCCTCCGCCGTGCGTTTTGCTGTCTGGAGTGTGTCGAGGGGACAGGTGATGTCTGGCTGCCCCTGCTCCCGGTAGCTGTTGCCTGAGCCCAGCAGCGCCACCCTAGACCTGCCCCTTGCGCACCTGGGCCCCACCTTCCAGATGCCAACGCGGAGGCTCAGGCCGGCCCGCTGCCAGTCCCCCTCCTGCACCACACTGTGGAGGACCGGCATCCCGGGAGAGAGCCGAGACCAGCACTGCCACTGAGCGGCAGGGAGCAAAGTCCCTTTTCCTGCATGCACAGCTGGGGTGGGAGGTGGACATGAGTGACCCCCGGCTGTCACGGGCCCCACAGGAGCCAGTTCAGCCTCATGACCCAGCTGTGAGCTCCACTAATGCCAGGGACCTTTGCTTGTAGCTGCTACGCAGGAGGCTGGCAGAACGTTGGCCCTGACCCCGGTGGCTGGGGCACTGCAGGCAAAGTGAGGTCCTCCCAGGGCCACAGTGGGGAGGCCTGCATTGGACACTGCTCGGCCGTCAGGGCCCAGGGAGGTGGAGGAGCCTGGATTTATGTGAGGTGACCACAGAAGGCGCCCCTGCCCTTTGGTCGGGGCCTTGTATCAGGCTCTGTGGCATTGTTCCCAGCACCCCAGAAGGCCCCCGAGGAGCAGGACCTAACGCCGGGCAGCAGGCAGAAGGTGGAGGACGGGGATGACCTGTACCACGTGAACGCCCGCCACCTCCTCTACCCCAGCTGCCCAGTCACACGTTTCCCCGTGCCGGACGAGAAGGTACCCTGGGAGGTGAGTGCTGTCCTGGGGTGGGGCCAAGGGCTATTCTGCCCGCAGTGGCCACAGGTGGGTTTAATGACTATGGTCTGGTCACGGCTTTGTCCGCTGTGTCTTGCTGCTGACCTGGCATTGGTTCTTATGCCTCCCAGTGGGAAGGAATGATGGCAGTCCTTGTGTGATGGATGAGGAAACCGAGGCACAGAGGTCCAGTGACTTGGGGCCACACAGTAGAGGTGGCGGAGCTGGGACTTGAGGCCGGGGGCCTGTCTCTAGAGCTGGCACTCTGGCCCACCACACCACACGCAGTCTGTCCACACCTCCTCTCCCCCTCTGCAGCCCAGAGCTGCCCCAAGGCCTGAGCTTTGCCCAGCCATCCAGGCCCCACCTAGCCTAGATCCCACCATCCACAGTGAGCACTCCCTGACCCGCTGTGTGCCAGGCGAGCACGAGGGAGAGATGGACACTGGCCCCCATGCAGCTGTCTCTCTGGCCTTTCTGGAACACTCGGGGCTGTTGTCTCTAGACCTGGTGGTGTCCCTGTTCTAGTGCCTCGACTGCCTTCTTCCCAGCGCCCCACCAGGTGTACTCACCCTCACCTGTACAGCCCAGCTCACACCTGCAGTCCTGGCTGCCAGCCGCCTCTGGGCATTCCCAGGGGCTGTGTGTAGCTCGTACTTCTGAAGAGGTTCTTCCCCAGTCCTGCTCTCGCTTACAGCTGTTTGTGTGCGCTTGTGGGGTTGGTCTTGGGGTCCAGGCTGAGAAGCTGGTCTTGGCTGTGAGCACTATGAGGAGAGCATCTACCCTCTGACCCATCCTGGGGGCCCAGCCTGAGCTTTGAATGGGGGTAAAAAGTTGAGGGGAAAACCACCCTGTTTTGTGGCAGACGGAGTTTGTGATCTACGACCCCCCCTTCTACACGGCCGAGAGGAAGGACAAGGCAATCGTGGACCCTGTGGGGAGGTGAGAGTGGGCTGCCTCTTTGGCCTGCCCCCCCAGCCCTGCCTCCAGATGGGGTGGGATGGGAAGGAGCAGGGCGGGGTCCTCCATGGACTACCCGCTGTTGGAGTCTCACTCTGGGGCGAGCGAGGTGATCCCACCCTTCCTAAAGAGGGTCTGCTGTACCAGGGGCTGGGGTGCTTGTCCTTCCTAGGGGCTCTGGGTCCTGGGGTGAGGAGAGGCCGTGCAGGTCCCGGGGTGAGGAGAGGCCGAGTGGGTCCCGGGGTGAGGAGAGGCCGAGTGGGTCCCGGGGTGAGGAGAGGCCG